AACTGTTGAGGTGCTTGTGTTCACCTGCAATTTTGGACTCAGCAAACATGAACTTGAAATATGGGACAATTAAAGAGCACTGGAAAAGACTGGCAATTGAGATACAGACAAATACTTTTTGGAATAAATTAAGACACATCAGATTTATTTGTGATGAAGGAAATAATAGTTGCAAAGATGGGACAATTAAAGAGCACTGGAAAAGACTGGCTTCAGACTTGCCTAATCTGATATAGACAATCAAATGAAGGTGGGAAATGAACTTATGCATCCATTAGGACAAGTAACCACAAGATCTAGAGTAGGCTAGGATTCCAGTTAACTCACAATCTCATATATTATGTGACGGTAGCAACAGTAGCGCTCAAACCAACTAAACAAGGAGCCGTCTGGCTGCATTTCATATGCTTCAACCTCATCCCAGTGAAATTGCAAATCCACTCCTGAAACCAAAATTGTGTGCTCAGAAATAAGCAAAAGCCTGCAATTTTTTTGGATAGGTGCATCAGCCAGTAATTACTCAGATCATACATACAAATGAGCAACTAGAGATAAATCTAATGAGGAAACAATTTAATGATTATCACCGATATGAGTCCGTTTCTTCAACTGCAACTCTGCTGCAGCCTGGCCAAGAGTTTTTAATGGCGCTCCCAACTGGAAAAAAGAGCTTAAGATCATGTAATTTCATATGCAGAATTCAGAATAAACCAGCAAGAAGGAGATATCTTTTGAGTGACCGGACCTATTTTGTTACATGAAGTCATGAACCAAGTGTGTGTGTGTATATATATATATATTATATATATCATACCCATAACAGTATTCACTAATTAAAGAAAATTATAATCATAGAAAAAGGGAGAGCCCACATAGATGTGTATACATACATAGACATTGGCAACTTATTTGTTTCTGTGTGACTCCCTCTTTTTTTTGGTTAACCGTGGTGTCCGAGCCAACTTGCACTCACTTCAACTAATTCTACGGGATATTTGTTAGTACTATGTCCACCAAGGCTAGGACAAATGGGAACTGTCTCCGCTGGAATTTGAACTTGAGACCTCATGATTCTTAACCCATTTCGTTGACCACTAGGGTGTCCATATGTGACTTTTCAAGCATTGCCTATCTTGCTACAGGTAAAAGAACCTAATGTATTATATGCTATCGTTCAAACTTTTTAAAGTAAGAATACACTGGTTCTTAGCTCGTGACAATTGAGAATGTTTGTTCTCAGTCTCAAGGTCCAAAATTCAGTTCTAAAGTTTTGGGGTCCTTTATATCCCCACAAAGAAAGAAATTATGCCTACCACCCTAATCTATGTGAGCCAAGCTTAATACTATGGTCGATGCTGTTCTTACAAGCTTGCTTATCATTTCTGTTGCCTCTAAGAAGACGAGTACACTGCAAAATTCCTACTAAAACTGGAGCATATCAGAAGGGCAGCTGCAATCTATTTCAGTTCTCACCCATGAATCCTCCATCCATTCAGGGATATCCGATATAATTGTTTATTGTTACACACAACAATAACATCATACCCAGTAATAATCCCACAAGTGGTTCTGGGGAGGGTAGGAGGTACAAAAACCTTACCTCTGCCTTTGTGGGGGTAGAGAGGTTGTTTCCAATACATCCTCAGCTCAAAAGAAAGAAAAACGAAGCATGTTTGCAAGTAAGAAAATGACTTCGTAGAGGGGAAAAGGAAATGCAGAAAGATTCATTTGGGTTTACACGTTGGTTAGCTAGAATTATGAAAACTAAAACAAAATGTAAGTTAAACAATGGTGATTTCTCTAGCAGTACTATTCAAACAAAAACCAAACTAGTAATTTAGTAATGAACATCGATCTCCTGTAAAGCTAAGCGCAACGGTAACGTCAACCAGAGTATATGACAGCTGAATATAGAAGAAGAAAGTTGAAACGCACCCTGAGGAATTCATTCTGAAGGCCAACAACTCTATCAACAATCAATCCCGCTTTTCGAAATTCATCAACGAGAACCTCAATACAATCATTAATTTCATCTCCATCCTTATTATTTCCTGAACTCTTTGGTACCACCACGCCTATTTCAAAGGCGACAGTTTCCAAATCCTCCGCACCAATATTCTCATTCATTTTCCCAAAAAACTCCAACAAGGGAAAACGTGAATCCCCGCTGAAGCTAATGGAACATGCAATTAATGGAAGTTATCGGATTAGGGCGTGAAAATTGTGATGAAGGTGGCTAGATAAGCGTTTTGTAGCAGAGAGAAAATGGCGGAGAAATACAGGAAGAGCAGAAGCAGGGGCGAAAGGTGACACATAAGCTGAAAGGGTGAAGAGTAGTGGCAGAACACGTGGAGTGGGCGTTTTGTTGTTTTGTGTAACCGTTTTTAGGTGCCTTTCATCATGAAACAGGTCAATTTTCAGGCACAATAATCAATGCTCCATCGATCACGGTGACCCTTTTTTCGTCTTTTTGAGCAAATTTAACCCGTAATGACTCAACTAATTACAGAAAATATGACTTTATTAAATTAGTTTTTGGAGCTAACTAGAGTATATTAATTCCTTCTTCTTAAAACTACTAGTTTAATACGAACAGTAAGACTCACTTGTCTAACAAAATCATTCATTTGATTATTGATTTGAAAGTGAATTTTTCATGTACTTTTTCTAATTTTATCCTCGCTAGTGAACTAATATTATATTTAGTAGAGTATTGAATGAGATTTATCCAAGATAATATATGTATGACTAAGATTACTTACATCTTTTTTATATAATAAATATGCAAAAAAAAAAAAAAAACTTTTTAACGAACATGTTGTAAACTTATTGAGTAGAATTGTACTATTTGGTAAATCCAAGTACTCTCCGTCCCATTTTATGTGGTAACATTTGATCGGGCACGGAGTTTTAAGAAATAAATAAAGACTTTGAAATGTTTACCAAATTGCCCTTTAAAAAGTAGACTCACTTTTCTCTTTCCTCATAAATGTATTGAAGTATTATTTTAAGATTAAGTGGGACCAATAAGGGTAAAAAAAGAATTGTACCTTTAAATATTTACCATATAAGAAAATGTGACATTCTTTTTGGGACTGACCAAAAAGGAAATGGTGTCACATAAAATGGGACGGAGGGAGTAGTTTTTATGACATATAATAAAAAAATTATTAAATCAAATAATTCATATAAAAAGAGAGATAGATAAGGAATATAGAAATTTGAAATGTTCCGATACAATTCAAAGTGATTATCATTTTTGTTTGAACGAAATGATGTAATTATAATTCTTCTCTTTTTGATGTGGTAACAACATTGTATAGAAACTAATGAGTGTTATAATAGCAACTGGTGACCTCCATGCTTTCTCTCTTATCTCCAGAACAAGTTGCTGCTGGGAATAATGATGGCAGCGAAATTATTACCGCCGAGTATTTCTGCCGTTTGGCAGAAAGAATATATATGTCTTTTGGAATAAAGTTCATGCTCTGCCTGGAATAAAGTATTTCTGCCATTTGCAGAGGATTTTTCGAATTTAATGCAAATAAAGTTCATGCTCTGCCTGTATATGAGTCTTACTTAGAACAATGTTTGATCAAACTTCTAATCATACCTTTTACTGTAGTTTTTAAAATTGTTGAAAAAACATTCGGAATTAAATACGTGTTTGTATACACAATCACATTCAGAATTGGATCATTACTAAGTGACTATTTGTATTTTTAATCTTGAACCAATGTTTTTTGTCCATCAACCACTAGTCTCAGTGATCCCGGCCCTGTAGTGGAGCTTGCCCCCGCCCTAGGCCTATTGAGATCTTTCCCTGTGCGGGTAAATTTGGGCTCAGGTCAGTGACGGAGCTAGAATTTTTAAAGAGAGTTCAAAGAACTAAACACACGAATTAATTGAAGGGGGTTCGACATTTACTATATATACATTAAATATAATTTTAATTATGTAATAATAGTCCACCAAAGAGAGTTCGAATGAACCCTAACAGAAGACTGGCTCCGCCCCTGAGTCTCACATGATGTTAATCAAAGTTATTCATTATTAACTATCACTATCCATCAATACAACAATTACTATAGACTATCATATAATTTATCCTTTAATATTTTTAGTGATATAGTATTAGATTATTTAGTAATTTTTTGAAATTTCATATTTATTAGTTTTCAATTAGCATAAACCTTATACATCCAAAGTGTTCAAAGAAATACATGGTCTAAGTTATTTTGCACACAATTTTAATATAACATGTCAAGATTTAGATGTATATATAAATTTTGATATTTTAATATTAATGTAATATCTTCATATTTTAGATGTGTATATATAGGTTTAGAACTTTGTAATGTCAACAGAAATAAAGGAAGAGGAGCACAATCTCCATACTTAGATGATTGACTAATCAAAATCGAAATGATTAAAAGTTCTTTTGAATAGGACCAATAAAATAATTGAATATTTAAAATTTAATCGGGATCATCTTCAATCGAGATCATATACGATTCATAATTGCTCATAATATTGATTTGAAGGTACTCTATAAAGAGAATTTCGCGAGCAGTTTGAACAGAAACAAATAATCTCATTTTAATCTCTTTTACAACATGAGGAAACAATTGATCACATTCTCAATCCCTCTTTTCGAAAGACTACTTTTTATAGGTATGTATTAATTTTAATAAAAATAAACAAAATTTTATTTACAAAGAAAATAGGAAGGAGGACGTAAATAAACACGTAGCAGGCATACCAACGTCACTTAGAAACTAAATTAAAATTAATTATATAAAATTAAAAAGAATTACCAACATGGAAAAAAAAAAGAGTAAAGGACTTGTACAACGGTCGACTCATCGCTTGGGCCCACCACTGCGTGTTTCGGTGATCTAACGATTATTATTGAAATAACACACGCTACAATTGTTTCTGACCGTAGATTAGTCATTACACGGAAAGCGAGTAGCATATACAAATTCGGTATCCAAGTAATTTCCAGGAAAATATCTGTCTTCAAACCCTAATAAAGCACCAAGAAGAGAAGAAAGTGATTATTCGAAGGTGAAAAATCACCAAATTGCATTGATAATTCACAAATTCGAAAGAGTTCATCGCCAGATCTAGATCCATGGGGAACACAGAGAAATTGATGAACCAGATCATGGAGCTCAAGTTCACATCGAAGAGTCTTCAACGCCAAGCCCGGAAATGTGAGAAAGACGAAAAATCCGAGAAGCTTAAGGTGAAAAAAGCGATCGAGAAAGGGAATATGGACGGCGCTAGAATTTACGCCGAGAACGCAATCCGCAAGCGCAGCGAGCAGATGAATTATCTCCGTTTGTCCTCGCGTCTCGACGCCGTTGTGGCTCGACTCGATACTCAGGCAAAAATGAGCACAATCAGCAAGTCTATGGGCAATATCGTCAAATCACTCGAGTCCTCCCTCAATACCGGTAATCTCCAGAAGATGTCCGAGACGATGGACCAGTTCGAGCGCCAGTTTGTTAATATGGAAGTTCAAGCTGAGTTTATGGAGAGTTCTATGGCTGGAAGTACCTCGCTGTCGACTCCGGAAGACCAGGTTAACAGTCTCATGCACCAGGTGGCCGATGACTACGGCCTCGAGGTCTCCGTGGGGCTTCCACAAGCAGCTGGCCATGCTATTCCTACTAAGGACAGTGAGAAAGTCGACGAGGATGATCTAACCAGGCGCCTTGCCGAGCTGAAGGCGCGTGGGTAATTGAGAAACTAAAGATTTTCCTGTTAATAACGAGGCTGCGCAATTGATATATTGTGACATAGTATGTGGAGTTCTCTCTATTTCATTCTGAAAACTGAACGTCTTTAATGTACATTTTAACTCTCTTGTGTTGGTGGAGTTCTTTTGCTTTTCTTTATGGTTTACAAATTGTGTGTTTATAATTTAATGTGCATGTTGGTAATGTATCTATTGTCTGTTCGTATTGTTCTTTGACTTGTTAATATATCTGTTCATAACCTTGACCGGATTGCATTGTTGTTACCTGTGACGACGAAGCTCTCCGCTTGGTATAGTTGATCTGTACGGAACGGAGGATTGAAATTAGAATAGATTCACGCTCAGTTAAAAGAAAGTAAATGTGGGGACTCTTCTTATTGGAGGGGGAGAAGGGTATAGGTCTATAGGGGAATAGGAATGATTGCTTTGTTCTATACAAGCTTGATATTTGTTGTGTCAAGCTAATCTTCAAACAGTTCTAACTTGTTATAGCATTTCTTCGTGCGTGAACAATTGGGTACCCAAATCTCCTGTTCATGGACTTTAACTTTATGCCATGCTCGTCTTTGTGATGATTTTGAATAGAAAAAACAATGAGTATTGTGGAACTGGATGTCATATCTGATACTGAAGTTAAATGGATTGACTTCACTTTTTTTTCAGCCAGAGAAAGCATCATTACTGGTAAGAAGCTGCAGACGTGATAATGCTTAGCTTCGTTTTCATTGTTAAGTTTAGTTTTCGTAACTAGGAAAACATCTATTAATATTGCATAACTCACATTCGTAACTTGCAATTTGATATTGAAGAGGTTTTAAAATGTTGATGATCTGAGTGGGGGTGGGGGGGTGTTGGATATTGATTGTATTCACAAGTTTGTATGCAGCTAAAATTCCTGGTTAAGTTCAACTACACGCCAATTTGATATGCTCTCATAGTTCTTGTTAGCTGACTGTATCATATTATTCTTACTATAACAAATTAGATAGTTGCATGTTGCTGTGTAATAATCATCCACCTTATTAGTGTAAGTCCGTGAGAGAGGGTAGTGGATTACATATTGCACACACACATTTTTTCATTGGGCAAGTCCATAAGTGCAAAAATATTTGGGTTAACAGAGCTGATTTTGCAGGGTCGTTCTTACTATTTCTATACAACTTTGCAGATCAATTTTTGTTAATTTTACTAGTTAGATTATGCGTCCGAGAAAGAGGAGAAGATCATCTGTATTCTGTAATCTGTTCCCCATGGGTGACTAGTGTCATCTAGGAAAATAGCTTTTGAGTGATAATATAATTGCTGCTGGAGGTGCTGTCTTGGTGGAGAAAGCATCTTCCAAGCTACTGGTTTTCCATGCTCATTGAGCTTCAGTAATAATACTGAATATGTTTTTTATGTGTCGAGGCAGAAAATTGTTCAATTCTGCGTAGATTTCACCAGGTATGAAATGGAGAAGTGAAACAGTGGAACTTTTGGTGCCACCAGTGTAGGGTGAGCAAAGCTTAGTAATGGCTTAGATGTCCTACTTGTCAGTGTGCACTTTATGTGCTTTTGTGATAAGAGAGATGATATTTATGCGCTTGTGTGTTTTGAGTCATAGAGGCTCTTGATGTGAAACTCTAGAAATCTTTATATAATTTGGATTCTAGAGCCATATGAACTACTTTACTTGATCAGGAAAGAAGGCAAACACAAGGAAGACTGGAGTATATGTATAGGGTGGAGTCTTAGCCTTCTTTAGGTTGTTTTATCCTTGAATCACAAAATTGGAAGGACTTCATGTTGAGCAACAAAAATAGAAATGACCTTATGCTAAGCTAATTTGTTGATAGTTTTTACGAGCTTGAGTTTGTCGTGTGAAGCCAATTTTTTAATAGGTTTCGAGTATATGTATACAATTGTGTTTCGGCACTTGTGTCTGTGTGAATAGTTGAAAATTTCATGTTAGATGACTTCAATCATATGTGGCTATGATGCTGAAGGAATAACCAAAGCACGAGCAATTATGAATGGTCAGCTAATTTTTCCTTGAGCAACTTACTGCATACATCAATTTTCATTTGAGAAATAAAGGATGAAACACTGCAACTTTCATCTAGCTTAAGTGTGTGGTTATTTGTTGCACCAAGGGTGTGGCGTGCTATAAAATCATAAGGTCTCAACTATGAGCAAAAATTATTATGTCCAAGCCTTGGGGTGCAAAGTTGCCAGTATCTATGCTGGTTGGAGTTAACTATGTTATTGTTGTAAATCGAGTTTTAGGCCTCCACTCGCAGGTTTTTAGATCACAAACATTTTTCCTCCAACGTCTCATCATATTATACATCAATATCCTACAAACTACACACATGAGAAACTGTCTGATCACCAAGAGACATGAAAATCACGCCCCTGCATATTAAAATTAAATTGGCAGGCATTAAACATTTTTTATTTTTTTTCTCGACAAAGGCTGTTATGATCTCATTGATTTTGAGCATAAAAACAATTTAACTCAAAAGTCTCCACACCAATAAAGCTCAGAAGTATAGCTACAAGTAAATAGAGAAATTTAACAGGAATCTCATGTTTTTATTCCCTATCCACTTTCATATAGGGCCTTTGGAAAGCCCAGGCCGCTTGTATGTTTGAATCTTCCTTGTCAGCGGCAAGCCACAATGTAGTAAACAGATGACATCAGAACAATGCTCTTGCCAACTTTCAACCATACCACGTCTGAACTTGTTCAATAAAAGTAGCCAAGAACTTGTCCACCCACATTTTGCCGCTGAGCTTCTTCGTGATCCAAAACTCCGTTTGGTGTTGTAATTACAACATATCCCCACTGCAAGAAGAGGAATAGATCAATACCTTCTATAGGATTTTTTTTAAAAAAAATAGTGGTCGTAAGTAAGAAAAGGTAGTGAAAAGAACCTGACTTGGATAGTTGGATGTTAAAGCAAATGATCATTAAAGGTTTTCATGCCAAGGTCTAAAGCAAGATTCCACATAAAATCATTTAAGGTAACAGGTATCAACAGGTATACATGTGTCTAACAAGGTTCAAAGGTCAATAGCACATTTAACTGCAGCAATGGATGACTTCTCCAAGTGTATGCTTTCATTATCTTCACATAAAATTGTGTTTTAGACAGAAAAATAAATCTAAATGGAACTTTGGAAAAAATTATGTTAACAGACAAAAAGAATGGAAGGAAGATGAAGAAGAAAGACTGAAAATCAAAGATGTTTAATAGTAGTAAACTATTGTAACTTGAGGACTCCTTATGGGTATAATACTCTTGGACAATGGTGGTATAAACTCAGGTAGCATGTCTACACGATGGCTTTTTCTGGTCAAAGATGCTTCCTTCTGCTTCATTGTCCCAGATAGAAAGATGGCTCAAAATGGTTCTTTTTGGACAGAAAATGATATAAAGGTTGGTGTCTGGAAACAGAAAGATGGATGAGAATAATTCTTTCGGACGGGAAAAAAAAGTAAGGAGGTTGGTGTGAAAGTGGAGACAAATGACAACTTTGGATGTGTCTTGGTAGAGCAGGAACTCAAAAGAAAGAGCAAAAATAATGAATGGGTATGGTAAATGGATAAATATACAGTAGGAACAGGTTTTGAAAATGCAGAGGACAATATATTCAGAAACTGGAAAAGAACAAGTGAAAATAAATGCGGAAGAGGAAGTTGTTGATCTATTGATTGCAAAATTTGGTCGACAGTAAGTGCAGCAGGGAGTATAAACTGGCACAGACCCACCTCAAGATACAATATGCAAAAGAGCTTCATGATAAAACAGGTTGTGCAACACATCCACAGTTTGACTGCAAATATTTTTAGTACATTATTGACATTTGACAGATCTAGGAAGGTAAGCGGAAAGACTCTTTGCCATATCTCACAAGTTCACATTTATGGAGAACTATCTCATTCACAAGATATTTTATATGTATTTTATTACCCAGTGAAACTGCAAAGTTGTGTTCCCTTCCTTTAATAAAAATTTGTTAAATATGTATTTTATGTCTACCTGTAATAGCAAAGTACCAAACTTCCTTCAGGTAATGAGAATCAGCCATATTAGTATGACAACTAATACCCAGCCCCTCGCAACAGGTAAGCTTTCATGGACATATGGAAGCATTACATTTCCATTTACAGTACGCAAACATTTCATGTAAAAAGTCAGAATCAGGGAGCAAGAACCTATGAGTACCTAAAGATGGTAAATAACACATTCGGCAGCCTTCTCTGTTTGCACTTAAAATATGATCAAGATAAGAATTCATTGTCTATGATATATATCCACATACGTAAAATATTTAAAACGAACATGGTAAGCTGTCAGTGCAGTACTTGCTAATTAGGGCCGCTACTGTTGCAACTCAAGATGAATATCCTCTTGTCCAGGCCGGACAGCCATCATGGGAGGTGTACTCCAGAAGAAGTGTTTAAGATGGGAAATTGATGAGGTAGAAAGATTACAAACTTTAAAACATCGGAATTGGAGAGGAAGATAAAATGATACTGAAAGGATCCCCCCTCAAGGAGCTTTCTGCGAAGTCCCACACCAATTTTATGCTTAGTGGAGGTTGTGGATCATCTTTTTGACATTGTAGATTAGTGTTGGGCTTGGGGGCTATGATCTTCTCCATTCTCAATGTACAATAGGTACACTACCTTAAAACACCTCTAGTAATAGCAAGAAACATTCCCACCTAGAAAAAAATCTACTCTGCTAGGAAATAGTTACCATTATTCTCCCGTGGTACATGTATTTTTCAAAAATTTAAGAACATCAAAATGCAATAGGATAAATATGAACGCGAGAAATTATAGAGCAAACTGATTCTTCTGATAAAGTCGTTAGGGGAAAAGAAATGCAAGTCATGTTAAACATAAAGGAAATTAGGACTATGATCCAAGACCTTAACATAGTCAAACAGAGGATAAACTAAAAGCAGAGCGGAGCAGATTAGCATTTAGTGAACAATGCAAATCAAACAGAGAACAGAGAGAAGATAAGAAATAAGATTTACTAAATATGAAGTACTTTATATGAAGCAAAGCCTAGAATGGCCCAACTCAAAATTTGATGAATAATGATGTAGCTCATGT